TCACAGCTTCCAGGATATGAAAGGCTGACAACTAATTGTAGGGTTGTGGATCCAAAAGAGAAAGTCTAGTGTAAGAAAGAAGAGGTACCAAGAGCAACAGCCTCACTGTCAGTTGATGCAAGATATGAAAGTGGAGTTGTTTGAATGGATCAGAATAAGATGACCAGACAGATGAGTTAGAAGATTATGGCAAGCTCATTGAACAGCCAACATCACAAGGATGTTAATATGGAGAAACTACTCATATGGACACCAGACCTTGAAAAGAGTACAAGTGTCCAGAACTACACCCCATCTAGATAGAGAGGTATCTGTGAACAGATGCAAGTCTAGGCAAAATGGGAAAAAAAAGAATGTCTAGAGTCACATGAGACCAATGGATACAGTAAGAAGTGGAGTTCCAACATATGACATTGGGTGTCTAGACATATACATGATCAGACAGAGACCATTAAAGAGGATGCACATGGGTGCCTCTGAGAACAAAGAACTTAAGAGAAGGTGAGTCCCCCAAAAGAGGCAGAACCTATCACACAGAAATAAAAGGAGACATGAGAGCTTTGGTAACAAGACACATGTTCTAAAGACATAAAAGAGCAGAAAAGGAGTGACCCTAAGAGGTTCCTAAGGATAAGAAACCTATTGGGACATCTTAGAATGAAAAAAGCAGGAATTAAAATTGAGCATAGATAAATGCTGATGAAATGCCTCGGCTTGAGTTTCCAATGGACATGGAACTCCCTCAAAACTTCATCACAAAGAAAGGGTGCCACATTGATGTCCCCGAGATAAGACTAAGGGAGGCAAACTTCAGAGAATATGACATAGACTAAGCAACTACCAGAAACAAAGAAATCGATACCAAGGTAATGAAAAGTTAGATGCGATTTTTCCCCAGCGAAGCTACTGGGGTCACAACGGGAAGCCTCCAAAAGAAGATGAAACATGCACAAATAATGAAGAAATTGAGCACAAGCAAGATTAAAATGAGTAGAATGAGAATGAGAGACAAAGAACAAGAAGAGATCCCTAACCTAGAGAAGAGGTTAAAGGGACAGAAACCACAAAAAAAGAAGAATCGTAACCATATGAAAAAGAATAATATTTCCAAGGTATGGGTGGATGATGCCACCAGATTCAGTACAAAGTTGAGACAAAACAGGCATCAGTATGAACATGAATATCAGGGAATGGGAAAAAGAAAATAAGAAGAATGCTTATGCACAAAAGAAGCCCATGATTCAATAAATACAACTGGAGAAAGTGAAAGAATGTCACATGCTGTGTAATCAAAGTAGCAAAAGATGAAGATGGGGTTATCTATTCCAGAAGCATAAGCAGCTGGTGAGAACAACCGGTCAAAACCACTGAAAGATTAAGCAAGCTTCATTGAAGCAACAGAAGCAGAAAGATGGGAATTCTGGATCCCAGAGTAGCATTGAATCCATGGCCGGGACATTATTGACTGTCAGAGTGCTTACTATCTCCACTGAAACAGTTAAATATGACTCCTGTGGGTGGGGGAATGTCAGAACCTCAAAATTGTCAGAAATGTAGATACTTGAATTCATAGTCAATGTAACTTTTTACCATTTTGTTTTACTGAATAGGTCTTGTATGTGCATGATACCTTTGTCATTGTCATAATGATGAAAAGAGACTGAATATCAAACCTTCATTTAATAATGATGGAAGATATTCTTAATAAAGAAACCACATCCCAGAATCTTGTACTCTGATTAAAAGAAATCAAATTAACATAAGAAAACAAATATTTATAACAGAATTTCTTTAAATTTTGCATCTTTCTCACACTAAAGAAAGGCAAGAAACATAACACTTTGCATATTAGCTAAAATGTTTCAAAATAATAGGTGCAAAAATTTCATATTTTATAAGGAAAAAAAGATTTATTTGAGTCACTTACAATTCTGCTCAAGAGAACTAGTGTGCATGGAGGATGCATTGCTCTAGTAATGGTGGAAGGCTGTAATCTAATGGTGATTGCATTAAAGACTGCCATAATACATGTTAATACTTATAGAAGTGGGAATTTCATTCAAAGGCTTTGTGCATGTGCACATACATTTTGGCAGTGGAACTGAAAGCTCTTTCTCACTGGTCTTTGGAAGGGTGAGTAGCATGTATGAAATAGCATCTTCCACCAACATCAGTAATGTCACAAAATAATTTTTGACCACTTATGCATATTTCTATTACTTCACGTTCAGCTGTGAAATGTAATTATAATATATACTGTATGCCCCACATGGCCATAGGCTTTCCATGCACACCCACTCCCAAAAGGAAAACTGACCATTTATTTTTTCAAAATATTATTAATTACCCCCCCCCCTTTTTTTTAACCCATAGCAAATCATTCCATAAGATCATCCTGAAAATAAAAATATCCTAACTGAACCCTTAACCCACTTTTCCTAAACTTAAACATGTTCTCATCCTCTTATCATCCTAATTCAGTACAAAGAAATCACAGGTCTTTATCCTATCTAATACTCGATTAGCTTCATAAACTTTAACAAGCTCACTTCTTCCCAGATTTTTTTTTTTAAAAGTTAAGAGATCTTAGTTTATCTTCTTAAGACAATCCTTCTATCCTCAAAACCATCCTTGTGGTCTTCTTCACAACACTTTCCAATAAGTCAGTATCCTTTCTTAGATTAGGAGACCACAATATTCAAAGAGAGGCCTAACTAGTGATTTTTCTAAAAATAATTACTTCTTTTAGCTTGTAATCAATGTCTATAAAACCATACTAGAATTCTATTAGCTTTACTACTAGCAACACAGCACTGCCTTGATGAGTTGAATGACTTGTCACACAATATAGTGGGTTTCCAACTATATTCAATGTGTTACCTTCCACTTACAATAAATAATGTCATTTTCAGTTTATTTGTTCAACTTTGGCCAAGTTCACATTCTTTCCAACAACCAGTAACAAGCACATATAACATCCCCCAAAAAAATAAAATTAAGAAATTAGTAAGGGAAGATTTCTCTTTAATGAATCCATGTTATCATATTTCACAAAATAACTTGGCAAAGTTATAATTTTTCTATACTGAAAATGTATTTCCAATAGGTATTTACATCCTCTCACAGCTATAGCTATTCTCATTCAGAGCTGCCCTCTATATGCAAAAATGCTTTTGCATGCCACAGGTCTTCAAGCTCCCACATACTCCATGATCAATGTAATTCAATTTTGTCTTGCATGTAAATCATCATTTGACAACCGTTCACCAATAGGAGTGTGACACTCTCCTGATGTATGTGAATCTTCTATTCAGTTCTACTGAACTATTACTTCGAGTTTTGGCAGAAAATGAAAGCACTGGTTTTCAGTGGGGGAGGATGGGTGAGAAGAGTTAAGTACCTATAGGAAATACATTTTCAATATAGGAAAATTGTAACTTCCGATAAGGAACCTTACCTCTTCTCACAGATATAGCTAGAATCGCACATTAAATAGGTGGAGGAACTGACGTGAGGAAATAGAGAAGCACCCTTGGAAAGCATTTGAAGATCTCTCAAAAAGTGGATATCCTTGCAGTAAAGGATCCTATATGGGAGACCAAACCACATCTGTACCAGGTATACTCTGCCTAGTGTGGAAAGAGGTGCTGCAAACATGGGCAGAAAATGAGAGAAGCACATTCAAAAGGAAGAAAACAATATTTGGATAGTGATCCAAACCACATGATATCGGAATCTCAATCTTTTGAAGACAGTTATGTGGGTCAAAGTATGCCTGAAGGTGTAGAGCGACTAAGGCGTGATGGACCAAAACCAGCCACCAGGAACTGATATCCATGCAAGGGTGTGAAAGAGTCAACTACAATCCAAAACCCAGTCACTAGGAACCAACATCCATCTCTCCCCCCCCCCCATGGAAGAGGATCATACTTTCTCCACCTCAAGTTCACCATACTAAAGGCAAATATCCTACCCCATGATCTGTGAACAGGGCACGTGACAAAAAGTTATACTGATCTGGGAATCTAACATTCGAATGATCATAAAGAGAAGGATGTCCCTGTATACTGAAATACCTCACCCAAAATCAATCTGATAGGAACCATCCTCAGTGCATTAACATCCTTGGTATATGAAAATCTTCAAGGGAAAGCACAAGAGGAAGGGCTATAGAAACAGCCATATTCATACATCATGACACACAACACTGAAGCAGTGAACACAAGTCCAATTCAGCGAGAGAACACAAACACCCATAATACATGTGTGAGGACTTATGTCAATTGGTCCAGCTCTGAATCCAAAACCCAGCCACCAGGAACTGATATCCAATATGAGGGTAGGATGAAAGATCCCAATTGAATGGGTAAACTGTAATTTTGGACAGCTCACTCCAAAGCTACATCCCCTTGGATGAACCCATTCAGAGATGGAGCATGAGATTGAAGGATGTATCATCATCTACACCAGCAGAACACCACCACCCTAATCTCAACTGAATTGATTCATTATTGTATGTATCGTATATAACTATCACATTCAGAAGGATGCATCCATGGTCTACCACCCTTGCTATTATCTTTAACATTACCAGCCAGCTGTGTCTAATAAGAGCTTCTTGTTTTCCCAATTCATTTTTTAACCAAATCCCTAGCATTCCTATAGTTCCGTAAGTCATCTATACTGTCAATTCAAACTTGTTAAACTTGTGTTTATCTCTTTCTCCTTTGTGCCCTCAGTAAGGCAATTAGATTTGAACCTCCCTGTTTCTTTTCTATTTTGAGGAACATGACTATCTTACAAGAACTTTATTTCATATTTTCAGGGTACGAGTTTGAAAATTAGTAAATCGTTATGTCATTTCTAGTGTTAAATCTTCATTAAACAAATACTGGTATACAATGTCACTCCTTATCTTTTCCTAAATAGCTGTTAAAATATTTTGATGAAACCAAGAGTTTTGAATGCACGGTATAAATAACCTTAATGTAAAACCTCACCTTTAAACCTACCTGTTGGGATATGTATTAGAACTACACAATTGGCTGTTTTATTAACAGCTTGGCCACCAGGGCCACTACCTCGTACAAAGTCTTCTTGAAGATCTTCCTCTCTTATAATTGGCACTAAAGAGTAGTCTATAGTATGCTTGAAGCATGTAGCTGCAACCAACTGAGAACACACGTTTCCAAAGCCAGTGTCATTTGAAAGTATAAACATGCTTTTCCTGTTAAAATTACAAAGGTGTTTCTTCACAAGAGGATTCTTCATTGTATTAGATGCTGACATCATTGGTACATTTGTCAAAATACACTTGCTTCTATGAGCAGCAAATGCTATGTCACAGAACATCTTCCATCTGGTATGTAACAGTTTATTCATGGTGAGACACAACTGCCAGTTTAGATTAATCGTTTATTCTGGAGGAAATTCACACCTTTCTGAAAATATTAAAAATAGAAAACATAATAGAACATACTATCATCTAATTAACTACATGAAATACTTAAAACATATAAAGACAAATTTAGAAACAAAACAAACCTGGTTAAAAGACCAGCAAACAGAGCACATTGTGCTATGCTTCTTTATGTAAATTTTAATAACATAATCTATTTGTACTAGGGAAAAGAAAGTAATTGATCAATGCATTTCCAGGTTAACAAATGACTTTTTTTTCTTTTTTTTTTTTATCAAAAGGATTATGCACATAGGTAACCTATTGGATAAGGGTAAAAGCATAATACACTATATTTGGTAAAAAAGCAGTAATAATGAACATCATTTCACTACATATATTGGTGTATTTTTAGTTGTCTTTTATTCACAACAATGAACCAATATTTACATAATAATTGAAGGATACGTATCACTGATTTTACTGATTCACTCTTCTAATTATTCAGCAAACAAGTTGTTTAAGATATTAAAAAATAAACATGAAGTCAAATCAATTCAATTCACCACCCATCACTGAGTAAAACAAGAGACCCCCTGAGGAAAGCATCCATAGAAAATCAAATAGGTGTGCTCTGTAATTGAATGGAAGAACTCATGAGGGTAACGCATCCTTTGAGGAAGTGTAGTGTCATGAAGTGAGTAGCACCGAGGCCTGAAGCTAGTAAAAAAAAAAAGACCTCAGAAAACAATGTATCAGGTGTAAATAATCAACAGGATTCCCACTCAGTCCTCAACCATACAAACATGACAAGAAACAAACTGACTCCAGTGTGATAAAGAACACAAGTAGTATAAAGAAAAAACGGACACAGATAGGTAACTCCAAACCCACACAGAAAAAATGGAAAGCCAACAGCAATTCATAGATTCACACAACAAACCTTAACACAAACACTGCTATCTGAGATGGGCTGTGATGGACGATAGATCCATTCCTCAAATACCTTTCTCTTTGAAAAGTATAGTATACTATCTATTTCCATCCCTCTCTAATGCATATGGTGACTTAATCTGTACTTCCCTACTCCTAATTTTTGCATAGTTTCCAATGTACATACACACACAGGTTATTCTTTTTTATATTATACTGGTAAAGTGTGATCCATTAAATTTTATCAGTCATACTGTGATGCAACATTATGTAAAATACAGATCTATATACAATCACAATTTAACAAATACACCAACAGTCAAACAATAAAATATATTCTTTATGTCCTGCCTCCAATGGCTGTTTCATATCAGATCATTCAGAAGTACTTAGAAGCAAGCAATTAAATATTTGAGGCACACTCTTAGTAGAATATGTAGTTCTTAAAAGGTTTGTTTTGTTTACAATAAACAGTTCAGCTCAGTCACTATGTAAAAAATATCACATTAATGTTTGTAAATTGTTCAGTTGGACAGATATTAAACATTAAAATAAAAGATTATCTACAGTACTGAATTTTTTTTTCTTTTGTTTGAACCTAACACAAAGTATTTAACTGTTTGACTGATGTTACTATGTTTACTGGCTTTAGAGCACTATGGAAACAATGCTGAAGAGTTTAATGGATGTGTTGTTTGTTTTAAGCAAATAGCCATACAATCAGTAACCTGTGTTGGGCCCAGCACATTAATTAAAACCTAAATTTTAACATTATAAGCCCACAAGCTTACTGCTGAGTCACCAGAGACCTATAATTAATAAATTGCCCTTTTCTTACTCAAATCAAATAAACTGAATCTTAAAACATTTCATACATGTAAGTACATACAATATTTGACATAAACAAAGCACCATATAAAAGCTGCTCTAGAAGACTCCTTTGTCTAAACTTTCAAATCAAATAAACTGTACACTTCTCAATATCTTGACATTTTCATAAAACAGCACATCTGCTGTAATAAAATGCCATTAAGCTTTCTTAAGTATCTCAAACATGTCATATTTATAGATAGAATTAAAACATTTGTATAAGGTACCAGTCTTTCAAATTAATAATTTTCATAACTCCTTAAATAATTTTTAACAAAGTAATTATTCTATATTGATGTTAGAAAAACATGTAGGTTCAAGAAGTCTTGATAGAAATGAATAAAAAACCCTATAACCCAAACACTTTCGAAAGGTGGACCTTCCTTCTTCAGGGACAAACTGGGAATTATTCTATAATCATTCTATAGATAGTTTTGATGATAATAAAATGATGAACTAAAAATTGTGTAGCTGTTTTTCTTATTGTAAATTAGCTAATAACAGATGGTTGTATTAATTGTTTAATACAGAATTCTCTAACTTTCTATATAGAAATTACATAAAATTTTAACAATGCTTGCATTCACAAAAATATTAGGAGGATGATGATGTATGAAAGTAGGTATTTAGCAGAATCATGACTAATTATGTTGATTAACGTCACTTATCTGAAAATTATAGTATAAAATCTCAATTCAAGAAATTTTATGGGGTTAATGAATGACCCTGACTTTGTGAAAAAAAGTTATCTTGATTTATATAGAAATACATAAATATTGGTGCAACTCTCTTGCTACAAGATCCAGAGTCCCACAAATTGTTAAAGTTTTAATTCTACATGTTAAAACATATAATTCATACCACAATAACCATGATTCCAAGTATGCCTAGTCTCACCCAGTTTTGAAGATTAACATTTACAAAGGAGTAAACTGTCTCTTTCTTTGATCTCTATTAATTACTAAAAACACTAGTCCAATATATTAACAACTATTAAGTTTTGATTCACAAAATGACTTGTATGGCTTTCAAATCATCCTAAGTCCTCCGCATCTTACAATATACTAATTTCTTTCTACAAATATAACAAAATTCTTGATTAGACTAGCACTATTCTTGCTTTGAATAAAATCTTGGACCAACACTAAGATATATCTACAATGGTGGAAAAATTTATCGCATCACCCAATTTTTTCACAGTCTTCTTTGGAATCATCACCTGTTTTAAGGACCTAATATATACAGGTGCAAATGTTTTATGTATGAGTTGATGCAATACTGCCTACTACATTGGTAGCCAGTCCCATACCGATGTTTGATGGCACCCCCCCCCTTTCAAGTTAGTGACAAGTGCAAATATACTGATCGTACTACACATGGTATAGCCCTGTCAGCAGGTTTACAGGTTGTCTGGATATTGCATGAACTACTGTTGTTGTTTTTTGCTATAAGTAGAGGTTCCTACTGAGAGTCAGTTCAGAAGCCTATCTGCTGAGTTAACTCCATAGAAAAAAACAGTCATTGTTTCTTTGAGCAAAGAGAAACTTTAGAGAATGCAGATTGCTAGAATAATCAAATTTAACCAGTCTGCTGTGAACTACTTGGTGCAGAGATATAGAGAGATTATGATTCACAGATCCCTCTAGCTAACATCTTAATTGCAATATTAAATCTATAGCTTACAATACTGCCTCCTTTCTGAATTGTGTAATCCCTTGAACAATCTTAATACAACAAATAACACTATTAAACTGTCCATTCACCAAGATTTTTTGATGGTTTTCTCTTCTGAGATGGCCTCTTGTCCCTTGTTGTCATTTTCTGTCCTGTCACTGTGGGAGTTCTTCCCAAGTAGCTGACACATTCTTCTCTGGAGTTACCTAGTTGTCCATTCTCTCACTGACAAAGGCTTTGCTTGCCT